AACACCTGAGGAAGGAAGACCCTATACTTCTAGTATACAAACAATGATACAGACCAGTTAACTCAATTAATTTTTTTAATTGCATGCAACAACATTTTGAATTCTGAATTTATTATTTATCAAATCCTAAGATTAACAAAGGTTAGTAATTCTCATTATTTTGTTTAAAGATTTCTTGACACTTTGAAATGCACCTGACTTTGTCCTTTTCTTTTACTTGGTGATATAACAATATGAAAATAATCATAATTATAGAAATGTAGATGTTATAACTGTATTTGTTCAGTTATCCCTGTTGTTGTTACCCCATCCATCCATACTTTGTTTAATGGCTAATGGCTGGTCCAGACTTAATGAATTCTCCTCATTAAGAAGGCTGAACATACTTATACAAAGCAGTCAATAAAATTCCTGTAAAGCAATGTATGCCAGTAAAGTTAAGGGAAGGTAATAAAAAGAATAATCTATACAAACTCACCAGAGTAGATCTGATTGTCCTCATGAGTAATAATAAACATGCTTAAGTCCATGTGCATCTAAAGTTTACCTACTTTCTATTCTTCTTTGTGGATTTGATTCCAACATGAAAATACATATTCTCATTTGGATACCATGTGCTCCTATAGCCTTACACCACTCACCTATTAAAAACTGGACAAATTTCTTTCTGATTGTGAGGCCCCAAGCACAACACCTCAGTTTACTTATCCTAGACCAAGATACGGTGAATGTTTCCTAAAATGTCAAATTGATCACCATTAACCCCCTCCAAAATAATAAAAGTCATGCCATAGCATAAGAGTTTCTATTATCTAATCTGCTAACAACATTTAAGCTGTAAATACAAAGTTTACACTGAAAGCAAGTTGTTTGAAAATATTTATTTACATATGTGTAGATACATATGCAATGCAACTGTGACCTGGAATGCAGTGGACCTATCACAGTTGAAAAATATATAACCATTTAGTAAATAAATAGAATTACAGTGGGTACTAAAGTCATCATCAAGAATGACCAAGCCCCTTAAATCTCCTTTAATTCTTCTCAATATAGTTAGCATTTATAACTAACCTGTCTTTGAGAAATTGAGTGTGCTTTCAAAATAATGCCTAATTCCTAATTTGCAACAAATTTGCAAATTTTTAAAATTTGGATTTGACAAAAGATTAGAAAACTCAATACAAGAACTAAATATCTCTGGTGGTGCATGAAATTTTCCTTGTTTTTATGTGCTCTTGTTAATTTTCTCACAAGTCTCTCTGCATAATGAACATAGTTAAAAAATGCATCTCATTAAAAAAAAGCATTTAATGCCACATGCCACTTTTCTGAATTACCAACATTACTAATCATATGCTATAAAAAGAAACTTTTTAAATTAATGCAATCTCACTTAGGACATAATATTATTGATTTGCAATGTAATTCATATAATTTTTAACCTATTTTTTTCAAGTTCAAGATACACATTGAAAAATCATTGGAAAGGTTTTGTTCATAATTTAGAATTTTGTTATAAGACATCTCTGCATGTGGAGTCATAAATCTTGAGTAAGTCATGATTATATTTCTTAAAAAAGTTGAATGATAAACTATCTATACCTTGACTATCCACCAAAATGTGTACTTTTTCTAACACAGCTGAGAATTTCTGCTGAGTAGTAGTATTAAGAAGAATAAGAAAAACTGTAAAACATGTCTTTTTCTCCTCTTCCCCCAACAGACCTTCATTTGATTAATAGTTTATTTGATTAATAGTTTTAAAATCCCAGATTGTTTACAAGTCTTATACTCACATGCTATTGCCTAGAACTATTTCTTTACCAACCTGTGACCAGAGAAATCTTTAAAACCTAGGATAATATTTAAGGAGCACATCTCAACTAGAAAAAAAAAAAAAAGATAATTTGTTTCAATGAAATTTTAATTTGAAAGTTCATTTTCCAGTTACCTAGTCTCATTGTGACATAAGAAGAGAGCAGCTCTTATCTTCATTTTATTATTTATTGGCTGGGAAATTTGAGCCCCAGTTACACCAGAAATAGTTAACTTGCCTAAGGTTTACACTCTAGCAGCAAAGCTAGATTCAGAAACCAGACAGAGCTCAGATATGCATCCTAGGGGTCTTCCAAAAAGATCATCTTCTCTCCCTTTCTATCAAGACCACAAGATAAATACTTATGTAACAAATTAGTAAAACAGAACATTCAGATAATTATAAAATATTCACACTTTAAAGTATCTGTGTATGATATGTACATTCTAGATAAATTTTCTCATTACCTACATAAAGTTTTGGAAAAGACTCAGAAAATAGCTTAAAGGTAAAAATTATACAAGATAGTAGAATTCATTAGGAATATGACACATAATTTCACCAGGACCAGCCACAGCATACTTCAAAAACAGTCACTGCTCTAAAGGCATTTTTTTTTAAGATTTCTAAAAGAATTTCATTATTAGCATGGCAAATGGGCCAGATCTCAACAGGAGAACAAAATCTCCTTAAATTTAAGAGAAGCTATGACTTGTATTTGGGCTCTGATAAGATTAATTTTCAAAATGGCACTTTAGTTTGTGCTCATAACTACTATTCTTATTAAAGTGCTGGGTACTCCAGAAGTATATATTTATTCCTAGGAACAATTCAAAATCCCAAATTTTCTAGTTCTAGATCTACAGAATTTTTAAACTGGGTATCTGTGATACTTGTACTCAATATGAAATGAGACCAGAGACATAATAAAAATTTTCCACTGTAACAATAAAGTATGTGTCTCTATGCAATGTCTGTGCCCAAACCATTCTAAATATTAGCTATATCAATATGGGACACTGGTGACTTTGGCATCATCATCTGCCTTTGTGTGCCTATCTGCCTTTTATCAAAGTTCCCTCCTTCTACTAGATCACATTTAGGGCAATAATATGCTGATACAGACTGAAAAAACTTGCCATTAAAATGCAAGGCTTGCATTTCCATTTTATTTTTATTTTTACTTTTGCTATTACATTATAGCCACCTGACCAGGCTCCAGCATCTGATCTTGTATGTTATAGAAAAATACTGAAGGTGTGTAAGTTTCTTTGGAAAAGATTTGGATTTTAACTACATATTTATTTACTTCTATTATTACATTGTTCAGAAATATAATCATAAAAATTTTATTCTGGATGCATTGAGAACATCTATGCAGTGTAAGAATAAAACATGCAGTCATCTGGTCCCCCAAAAGAGAATCTACTATTTATGTGCTGGTAGAGGCAACACAGAACATAATTATATCATTATTGCATGTATTTAAGCAAGTGCTCACCCTTTTATTCAAATTCAACTGGTAAGAATTGTGAAATCTGGAAACCTAAAAGACTATTCTATATACAATGTTTGCTGAACACATGCAATCCTGCTGAAAACAGCAGAGTGCATTCAGCACCTGGTCAGTCATGCACACAGGAATAGAGGTGGGTGGAAAAGAAAACTGCACCATAAATAAACAACAGATACTTTTTCCCCCTTTGTGGCAAACTGGAAAAGCTCAAAACCATATACTTCTTTCCCACATATATATAAACAATGATACTGTAGGCCAATTAGGTGAAGCTCTGAATCGATGTCAGAACACAGGTATTATTTGCACCAGTAATAAACAAAGGTGTGGATTGTAACTTCAAACCGCCCTGCTGTTTCATGGTCATTCTCTTATAGCTTTACAGCAACTGTTACTGTTGAAGCATGTGGCTAAAGTTAAACTGACCATTTCTATGCTTAGATTATTTTACTACTTGTTAGCCTTTATAAGCTTGGCCAAATTTGTTTCATATACGATTAAATAGAAAAATACCCTGAATTTCAACAAATGTCAGAGGTCAAGAAAAAGGTACCATCCTCACCATGAAAGCAACAAAGTTCCAATTTCAAGGCTAATTATTTTACTCCATGATTCCTCATTTTCATGTGCCTATGGTAGGTAGATATTGTAGCACGGCATTTAGGCACCCCTGAATACTTCCACTGTGGGTAACCGAAGCTATGGGCACAAAGAAAGGAAAATGGAACCCCAGATACATAACATCTGGTCTGAGGCTCTTAAATTAATGAGGCACATCTTGTGGGCATATGAAGAAGTTACAATAAAAATTATAAAATATCAAGTGTTTCAATAAATTACTTTTTTTTGAACTTCTCCAGTTTGATTGTGATAAATTGATGTTCAGTTCTGGGAGATAATTAGAAAGCTCATAAAAATGGGTAGACTTGATCAAAAGATTTCCTATACACACAGGTATATATATATATATATATATGTAATATACACATATACATACATACACACACAGATGATCCTATAATGTACAAATTCCTGGTATATATTTTCAATTTGATTCAAACACTCACTGCTCTGTGCCATTTATTAAATGTTATGCTTGCACCAATTTAGAACTATGCCTCTCTTTTCAATGTCTTTAAAAAGGTAATCAAAGGAAATGAATACATGTATTTTGCTCTTGATACATATCATTTAAGGAACTAGTTATACACAATTCTTTGTTACTCTTTTCAGTTAATAATAGGCACTTTCTAAGAGGATTTGTGACCCAAAGTACTCTGAAATTCAGTCTGTAGTACCCCTCTTTCATAAATGGAGCTAACTGAACCGTAGTGGTCTACTGTATCAACTCAGCAGAAGTCCATCAATTGAACTGTGTGCAAAAAAGCTTCAGAAAATGGTAACCAGAATAAAACTATAGAAAAGCAGTTATCTGAATTGAGCAACTTAACATCTATTTCTTAGTTGTTTTCTAAACCACATTTCACATGTTATCTCTATAAACAGTAAGAATCATGTGTGAATAATCCTGGACCTGTTTTTTCATTCTTTCTAATACAGACATGCTACCAACCCCCCCCCCCCAAAAAAAAAAATTACTTGTTTATCCCTTTCACATCATTGCAGTTAAGTTTTGACATGATTATTACTTAAATGTTTCATGTGTGTTTGTTTCTTTGCTGAGTCATTCAACTTCACCCTTTAGAAGTTTTGGAAACACAAATTTAGAACATTCTTATCTTTGGAAAATCAGCTTCTTCAACATGAATTGTTAAAAGGCCTTTTTACCCTGTGGTGCAGTAGTTCTATAATAACATACACTATATTAGTATTTTAATATTTATGGGGTTGACAAAATCATCATACAAGATGGTAGGTAGCTGCTCTCCAAGACGGAGGGAGTGGGGATTTCCTTACAGAAGAGTTAATGATTATTATCTAAGTATAATGTTAAAAAATGAGAGGTATAGTTGAATAAAAATGCAATTCATGCACAAAATCCACAGCACTAAGTTCTCAATATCCCACACTGCTATCTGACTTAACAGAACAGTCATTTCAATGGAACAAACTGCCAGTTGGGGAAAACAACCTAAGTTACAGAAAAACACCCCATGGAAAGAGATCATAAAATGGTACTAACAGTTGAAAAGCTGAACTTTTCCTTGATATTAATCTGTAATTTGAACTTAACAGAACAGTGAGGAAATGACAGCTCGAAATACTCAGCCTGAGATCAAATTTGTCATGGCAACATTGGCAGGTTGGACCCTGATTCTTCAAATATTACATTGCCTTGGTTAACAAAAATCCTACCTTTGTTATTATAGATATTATAAATAAATGTAAATTGTGCATGCAGTCAACTGCATAATATACAAGCAATATCTATGTTTTTAATAATCATCTTCTTTGGCAGGCCAGAATCCAGCTGGACATGCAATATTTACATATCAAAATCCATATTGTGTTCATCATATTGAAAGCAAGTGAAAATATATATATGTATATACCATATATACACACATGTATATAGATGTATATACTGTTTGTAATATATTAACAAATATATATGCATATATATTAAAAGTGGATCTCATCTTTGTCAGATTCAGGTGACTCAGGCCTTGAAACGCTAAAAATATCCTGACATGGTAGTTGGGAAGGTACTTGGAGTGGCATTTGGGATTTGGGGGATGAGGTCTGGGGCATACTTTTTTCTGAGAGTATTTTTAATATTTCTGCCACCTGCTTTTCCAGGGCAGTCATTCTGCAGCTCAGGAGCTGGATGTCCTCTTTCAGTTCGTGTTTGACTTCCTGTAGTGTGGTCTGTAAGGCCTGCTCGGGGATGGGATAGAAGGGGTGCTTGGCGTCAGCCTGAATGGGGCTGTGCTCTAGTGGACTTCGTGCCTCACCAGCTTTATCCAAACGAAGGTCACTTTTTGTAATCCCACTGTCACAAGAATCTGTTTTCCTTAGTGGGTTTTTGGTCACACTGTTCTCTGAGTCACTACCCTTGGGGTCCTCCGACAACAGCCCCATGGACTCAGCTTTAGTGACATTGTTCCAATCTTCCTTTTTCTCCTCATGGGCTCCCATGTTGTTCTTGAGTCGCAGCCACCCTTTCCCATTTCCGTTCTTCATCCGTATGGGACTGTTGACTTTGAGACATTTGGGGTCAGCACCACTATTGGGCTTGAGCTCCATGGCATCACGGTTGTTTTGCTTGAGGGATTCACCGGTCTTGACGTAGGCCAGCGATGTCTGGATGGGTGTGATCTGGGACACGGTAACCACACTGGTGCCCGTGATGGAGGCTCCATTCTGTAAGGAGCGACTTTCTACCTGAAGCTGGTTCCGCTCGGGATCACTCTGCGATGACCCCTGATTCCGCAGCTCCTTTTGTTGCTTGAATTTCTGGAAGAGCTTCCTGACCGGGTGGTCCACGGGGATGCTGAGGGTGACCTCATTCTTCTGTCTGAGACGCTCCTCCTCCTCTTTCTTCACATCACTGATTTTACGAAATATGATCTGTGGAGGGGGAGGGATAGTGAAAGTGTGATTAAGATACAGAGGAATTTATAATTGCCTCACAGTATACTATAGATATTATGTTTAACTGGAAGAAATTCCTAAACATAGGATAAGGTCATTTCTGAAAGGAAAAAATGTTAAAATACTTTTTAACAGGAACGATAATATTTAAAATTTGATGGAACAACATTGACCAAGCTTATCACTTGCATATCAGAGGGTAAATGTAGAAAAGGGACAACTGAATAGAGCTATTTGTTTTCTAGTTTATGTTCCCACTTAATAGAAAATATTAATATGCAAATATACATAATCCAGTGCATTAAACATGTGCGGATACATACATGCGTAAGAAAATATTTTTTTCATTTCCTTGTAATGAATCACTTTTTGTATGTTTTCCTTTTTTATTTTTAATTCCATATGGGTCAAAGAGTAATAGCTCTAGGCTGTTTAGACAGTTTACCAACATAGCATCTAGTTATGGTGGCAGGAGGGATTAAATTTATTTATGTGTCTCCAGAGACCATAATGAGGATCTATATATGAAAGCTTCTAGGAGGAAAATACCAGTTCAACATACAAATTTCATTTCAAATTGATATATTAACTGAATAAACGTTCATAAAAATTCATAAATCTTATACCATCAAAATATTTAGGGGAGTTGTTTGTGTAATAGCTGCACTGATAGAATGTTGAACTCTTCAAATTCCAAAAATTTTAACATTTTAAGTGAGTATACCTATATTTACATATAGGTGGGTATATACAAATAATTAAGTAGAAATTTCATGGAAAATGTACTTTCAAAATAGTATTGGGAAGAACATAAAACTCTTAAGAGAAATGAAAATGTTGACTATGTAAGAAATTACCACTTGCATTCTTAGAATGAGATGTAAATCTAGTAAATGTGAGAATTTTGCTCAGAGTCCTTCTGAAGAGCAATATAACTACAGGTGAGGGTTGTCAGAAAAATTCAAAAGGGAGTTATTAGATAGAGTGCTTTTAGAATCAGACAATTTTATGACACTGGCAACATTACTTACCTCCATCACCTCTTGTTAAATTGTTGGTTATATTGGAAATATATGTGAAGTACACAGTTCCTGGCATATAATAGGCACTCAAAAATATGTTGGTTCCCTCTCTTGAACTCACATAAAATACTTTCTTTTTGAAAACATTTTATGGCCTCTTGATGATCCAGCAGCATCCAGGAGTAACATATAATCATGATTTTATACCAGAAACCAACACTAATGATGGTCACTGGTAACATAGACATCAGGGGGATGGCAATGCTCCACCTACCAACATATTTTCTAAATTCAGATTGATGCACTAAATGCAACTTATCAAGGGGTCAGGACTCATATTTTTATTTAAAAAATTACATAAGTTCAATAGGTGTCTGTAAAGATCATCGTATTTTCCCTTCTCTAGTGGCACACGATTTGGATCTTTTTTAAAGATGCAATACTAATCTCAAAGTCTGACTTCAAAGTTCCAACAGTTTAATTAGAAGTCTTTCAAAGGTTGACATATTATGCTGCCTAAACAAACAGGGCTTGTGCTAACAAGCTTTTAAAATATTAACACTCTTTGGGTCCACACAGTTCTACACATTGAAACACAGATACCATGTTCCTATTTCATCATCTTTCATGGAAAAGGAACACACTTTCATTCTATGAACTGACATGAGAGGACCAAGAGAAATGATTGTCCTCATCCTCTTTCCCACTCACCCCTGATCCTTTTGTTTGTTTGTTTTTATAAAAGTAGTGACTGAGTTTTGGCTAGAGGTAGCTTGGGTGCAGTGTGGTAACTGAAAGTAGCCTTCACATTAGGGAAAAGGTCCATTGGAATCTCTCAGGTGCAGGAGGGCAGGGGCTTGGCACGTAAGAATGCTGGATAAAATGTAGGCCATCCAGGCAATATGCGGGGCATGCTTTTACTGAAAAATCATATATTGATAGTATATGAATGAGTTATATGTTAAAAGTGTTTGCCACTTCTCTGAAATTCAAATTTCACGGGGTGTCCTGCACTTTGGTTTGCTCAACTTTCAATCCTGTTGGCATGCAGCAGACATGTCTTTTTCTTTGTAACATCCATGTGTGCTACCATGTGAAGTTCACAGTTTGTAGAAATCACAGAAATTATAGTGAAAGAGTTGGTGTCCTGGGGATTGAGAATTTGTGGGTATGTTAGGTCAGAATTTTATTTTTTAGAATTTCAATATAATAGCTACTAATTTCTTACAATTAAATTCTTTGTACCAAGTTTGGGATAGGTAGAAAATAAAGAGTGTAATATATGAGGCATTAATTTTTTAAAAAAGCTTTTTCCAGCTTTCCTGATCTGTCCTAGTCCCTTTCCACCAATCAAGAACAAATAAATCTGTGTGAATTGCTACTTTAAGCTGAGAACAAATGCCAAACTACCTAGTATAAAGGGCCTGTCACAGGACTGGCTGCCAGCGGAAAAGTAAGATAGAACAGGGTTGGCATATTTTGACACTAAGAAGATGAAAATAGGAATTAGGAAAGAGAAAGAATAGAGGTTTTGGATATTTGAAGATGTGATTCTAAGAATTTCGTATACTGTTTCTTTCTTCCCATCTCCCTACTCCAGGGGGATAGAGGATGAAATGATATTAGACATAGACTCCTTGAGTTTTGGGGGTACTTATGAACCCCCTGACCTGGACTTTTCAGAGCAGAAAGACCCACAAAGAGTAATGGAAAGGCAGCTGCCCTCCCCGTTCCTATCCTCACTTCCTGTGTAGCCCCAAAGTGCAGAGCTAGGATCTCTCAGGCCCAGGATGCCACAGAAGGTAGCCCTTTGTGATTTCAATCCCATAAAAGACGAAGGAAGGGTATTTTATGAGGTGGGAAAAGTTATAGCATCCTACAGTGTACCTCTCCCAGGTCATTAAATATGTGATGTAAAAATTAGAGTCCAGCAGTTGGGGGCAGCCAGCTAAAAAGGCCATCCCTCTATGGAGTGACTAAAATGTAGTTCAAGCTGTTTGACTTGGGTTATACAACCAACACGCAGTCAGGATACAAATCCCAGGAGTCATATACCAAACAGTTGGAACCAGTTCATAGCACGGCAACTTCATGGGATAACATTGACACTTTTCCTGGACCTTATGAAAACTTGGATATTTGAGTAGGTGAAATAGGGAGCAAAAAAACAGGTACTCAACAGGTAACTCACTCTTCACAGAGCATTTGTCATAGAGAACCATCCCTTGAAAGAAGTGACTTAAATAAATGATTTAAGTTCTATGCTAGTTGGGTAATTGGTAGCCTTCACTAAAAGTGGGGGAAAGCTTGAAGGGAAGCAATCTCTAAACTCTTCTCACTTTCAATGGCAAAATCAGAAAGTAGGCTTTCTTCACTCTATTTCCTGTCAAAATACATATCACCATTTTGTAACTTTTGGTTCTCTTCCAATTGGCTCTTAAATCTTCTTTTAGTTTGCTTCTCCATATGTTAAATTTACTGAAAACCTGTAAGTGGGGAGGGTCAAAATGTAATTTTTCCTTTACTATCATTTTTGATCCCCTAATTTGTTTGGTTATGAAGACAGAGATTTTTGTCTATCTCCAGTCTCTACAACAGTGTCCTCTACACTGAGTAAATCTTCAATAAATAACTTATTAATTTAATAAACTTTTCATATATTTTGTAAATATATCTCTGTGGCAGATCTATGAAGAGAAAACTACAAAGAGGAAAATGTTTCTACTTATTATTTTCTACTCTTCAAACAATGAACATTACCTGTATTACTATCACAGATAGTCAATATTTATCTACTCCTGTTTCCTCCTTAGGAAACAAACATGTTATCATCTACCTTCTGGCATCCCAAGCAGCTAACCCAGTGCCAGGCACAACTATACAGTGAAGAAATGGTTGCCAAATAGAAAGAATTTCAAATCAAACTCTGACCAACAAATCAAACTTGTACAAATTACAGAATTTGAATCAGAACCTACCTTCAAATACTTTATAAGGATACAGCAACAATCATTAAGATTTTTTTGTTCTGTTTTGCTTTAAAACATCCTTGTTTATTTTTTCACAATGTAGGATTCCACCCCACCCCCCGCCCGGAGGTGCAGTCAACAATTTTCCCACCACCAAAGTGCCCACGGTCCTCCACCACACCTCACTGCTCTTTCTACCTTCCCCGTCCACAAATCCCATTCATTCCCTACTCACCCCCACACACTCTGTCCCTCTTCCCCTTCCCTCCTGAGTGCCTCAGATCTAAGGTCTGCTTGCAAGGGTCAGTCTTACAGTTTGTCTTTGTCAAATCCTTTCTTTAGCTTCTCTAGGTTCCAAAAAATAAGTGAAACCATCCAGTATTTATCTTTCCAGATGATGACAATGCAAAACTTTCTTAATGCAGAGTATGAGAACACAGGCACTGAAGTTAAAACAAAACAAAAATGAAGAGATGATTTTCTCATGTTCATAAGGTTCACAAAACTAATAATCAACTGAGGCATCAGAATCAGTTGATCTGTGTTTTACATATAAAGCAATAGACAGCTTTTTATTTGTCTTGTTATAAGAATGCATTATATAACAAATAAGAAAGCAAAGCTGCAGGGTTTTCTAATGTAAGTAACTCATGGTATTTCAAATACATTAAATACAATTTTTCTATAAGTCCTTTCTGTAAGTCCTCATAGTGTTTAAGATAGTTTTATCACCCTACAGTCTAAGTTTGAACAACAATGTATTTTAACTACCAAGGAGACTGCATGTCATCATGAAAATAGTGTGGCTGTTATTCTTTTTCACCATTATGATCATGACTATTCTTAAGCAAATTTTGCTGAATCTTTCCTTTTAAGAAGTGCTTTATACCTTTTTAACTTATTAATCATGCATATAATAAAATGGTTCAACTTAACATGATGGAAAGATTGACTTATCTTATTTAGGTCAAGCCTTTGAAAACAG